AGTTTCTTATCATCCGTATCAAATTTTGTGATGCACTATATGTCAAACCATTCCAAATAATCTTCCATGTTTCGCGCATATGAAATAACGTCTAATGGTTCCTTAAAGAAACTACTCACAAGGTTGCTGAAAAGCATATACTGCGATATCTGGAATATCGTGTTAACTGAATCACGATGCGGCCTGTGTGTGTAGAGCATCATAAACGAGAGATTCAGTGGGGTCTCTCGTGAAAACCAAATTGATTTGCATATGAGTATATTCAATGGTTCCATTTCGGCAGGCATGATGAATTGTTCCAATCGCGACGCCAAAATGCGAGAATTAGGTTCCGCACGTATATTGGTATAACCAGGCGAACTTGAAACCCAGAATTCAGGTCAGCGTAACAAGTAGCCCGTATGTATTCGAATTGGCGAATATGTGCAGCATATGGAATATTATAACAAGAGAATGATGAATAGAGCAATGAATAGAGTATCACTTACGTTCATCACAACCGCTGACCTCCTTTTGAGATCGGGGAGTCGCAATGTAGGAATGCTACGAGTGTGAGATAAGCAATTTCCCCTGAGAATGCGGTCGGCATCGTCTAAGAGGTCACCCCAAGCCCGATTGTCACAGTGTTTGCATTACACACTTGACTGATTTTAACTACAGAGAGACGAATCCTGAACGATCAAACAGTCAATATATGCAGGAAAGATAGTCTCTCCCCGCTTGCGGTTTCGTCGGTAAATTGAAGGCGATCACAAATGCATCAGCGTCCGTATCCCAATCCGTCCCCAAGAGCACGCTATATTAACACTGGGTACGTAGTTACGCTTCGCACAACAGACGTGAGTTCGGTTGGTTCGGTTGCTATCGCGACCCCGCTATCATTGAAATACGAGATCTACGTGTGGAAACCTACTTTGAGAGCAAGCACTTACCTTGTTGACTACGCACTTGGCCCCTACAGAGACCAGCGAAGACTTCAAGCAGCCATCAACACATACATTGGGCTCCATTGGCATAAATTAAACCGAATTTTGAACCGTCTTTCGTAAGGCGAACGGTGCACAGAAGTGAGAGGATGCGGAATCCAAGATGACGTCAACTGAAATTCAGTAGGTTCCCGAAAAAGCTCGTAATTTTTCCACCACAGGAATTTTAGAGCACCGTTCTCGTGGGGATCAGCCGTGACCTGCGACAACAATTGTTGGATGTCCGCTGACACAGCAACTTGTTCTAATCGAAAGCCAATTTTAACGCCCACAAGCTTTGCTGCCAAATGAAGATCCGGATACGGGTGATCGTTCAGACACACTACAACACTTTGCAGCACCGTCAGATACGACCTAAATCTATTCTGGCTTTCTTGGTTTGATGACCGGATGGTGTGGGTGACACCACTGCATTGCCTTTAAGGACAATCTGTGCGCACCTGCCACTGGTTCAACGTGTCCTTTGTCCAGGTACGCGCGAAGCGCCTGGTCATGATTTCCGTGTGGAACACGATCCTTGCACAGTCTGATTTTCAGATTGTATAGAAGTTTTCTAGCTGCCCGAAAGTTTCGGGTGAGGCAAGCGGGTTATTCATTTACGGGAACATTAGTTGATAGTTTCCATTTACCTTCACGGCACTAGTGTCCACGATCAACAATTCTTTCCGGTTTCCTTGGGAGAGGCTGGTATGATGCTGAAGTGCCCGCGGAATTCCACCGGAAAGTATCCCTGGATGCCCTGACTGTGCTCACTTTACATCGGCTGACAAACTTCTGCCTCTTTCATTCCTCAATAAAGCAAAAAGAATCCAAGCAGCTAAAGCCTCCACAGCAAATAGCTGTATCCGGTTTGTGGTGCGTGCAGTAAACTGTTTTGTGTCTTCCCCTACAACCCATCCACCCGCAATGAACAAAAGACTCTACTAATATCAGAGTTGTGTAAGCAAAAAAGGCGTACACCAGTTAGCCACTACAGTGGACTAATATATCCAATGGAAGACGAAAGCTGTTTGGGCGTTACCAGTAGATTTATGAGGCTGTATCTAGGATCCAAAACCCAAGATTCATTGACCGGTATTCCTCGCGTTGGAGTTGCAGTTACCAGAAGTGAGACCAGCCAGATAAAATGAAAAATGGACTTTCCATTTTCGAAAAATGCTGGCATTTGACACTGTTACACGAGACAAATGACTTCATCGTTCTTGCAACACTGGTTCACATGATTTGAAAATACGTTTATCATCATGTCTTCGACTAACCCATGTGGCCAATATAGTTGCTAACAATTTTGCGTAAAATGGATCTGAGTCGATGGTTTATATGCATTGATCTGTAGGTCATTACCGGCACTCGAGCATCCACGCGTCCTTCGCCATGGTCTTCGGTGATCTGAGTTCGAACGTCGGCTTGTCCAACCTAGACGCCTACCTGCTCACCAGGAGTTACATTGAGGGGTAATCACTCTTGTTTTGAACACAGCAATGAATATCACCAATACCATGACCTTTTGATTTTTCATTTTTGTGACCTATGAGGAATTCACTAAATAAAATTGTCACCAGGTGATAATTTTACTCGGTTTATATGGACTGCATTTGTTTTAAAGTGTTTGTTTTGGTTACACACTGCATTAGCCCAGGATGCACCGATTTCATTGTGCAATATCCGGTGACTTACGCGGTTTCTTTGCGCACGCGCTGAGGTTTGTCGACATACCAGTGATACCTAAAGCGTCATCCATCGAATATATATGGCTATAGGATTATATATGATTATGTATAACTGTATAAGACTAAGTTGTCTCATTGATTAACCAACGGGAGATTGTTTACGGGGTTGTGGTAACAGCATCAGCCCAGAGCAATGATGTTTTGTGGTAATTTTCGCATAAATGGACCAACTGGGATTAGTCTTCAAGTACCCTTGAAACGGGACGTTCACACATGTTTTTGATTAGATAGATGTACTCGCAATGAAAAGCTTGTAATCCTGTGGACCATATGGTTCTCTACCCGGTGAGCCGTCCATCAGCCATACCCGCCTGTCCCAGAAGGCCGATTTTACGAGGAAAGTTTACTTATGAGTCACTGACACCTGTGGTCGAGACCTCAGAATGCTTTATATGGGGCCAGCACCAGGTCCCCTCCATCCACTCCTTTTTCGTGTGCGATTTTTAAATCCAGTGACTTGTCCAGATAGCCTCTGTCGAATAAAACCATCTAATATATGCGCATCGTAATGCTTCATCACTACGTTGTTCTGCGCTCACAGCTATAAAGTGGCAATCTGGCAACAAACCGCAAGGCTTTTTCACAAATTGATCAAGGCTCTGATCTCCGTCTTGCTTACAATTATTCGAAAGCTGCCGGGCATAGATCTCATCCTTCGGTTGTACGTAAATTTCTCCTTGGTCTTTGATGAAGAGGCAAACACTAGGAGCAACGTAGTTAAACAGGCTTTTCAGTTCTGGTGAGTGAGAATCAAGTGATCGAAAGAAATTCACGAGAGTACAAAACCAGTGCTCCTATATATCTGCCGAGCCTTGAGTACTGGGATCGTTATCGAAACGTTCAGGACGTAAAATCGACCCATTGCTCAGTGATTATTTATGAATGAGTTATTGTGTGGCGAGAAATAGGGTGCAGCGACAATCAGAGTAAGCATGGAAAAGACCGAGGGCCTGTAAGCTTGGCTCTGTCCATCTAAAACTTTGAAACTGCTGGCTGAAACTAAAAAAATTGATTTGGCAATGAACGATGAAAAGCTTGGAGAAACCGCAAATATACGACAGTCTGGAGGAAATGGCAAGTCTTGGGAAGAACAAGGTGATACATGCAGGTGATTTTGAGACGGCAAAGGGAGTCATGGAGTTCTCCTGGTTCGCCATTGCCAATCACGCTGGTTCATAGGTTCGGGATAAAATGTCAGTCATTAGATTTTCCTTTTCAGGCCTGTAGTTGACATTGTAGGTAAAGGCGGCTAGTTCCATTTTCCGTCGCTGAACCTTAACTTTCTCCCAAACCTACCAGTTGGTGAGTGATAAGGTTGAACTGTTTCTCGACGGATAATGTTTCCATTTACGGGTAGACTTGACGATGGTGTATGCCTCTTTCTCGGTAGCGGATTGATTCGTTTCGCCTGGCGTCAGTGTTCTGGAAAACAAGACCACCGATCGGCCGTTCTGAGTCACAGATGCACCAGTGATGACTAAGTCTGAGGCTTCCGTCTTCACCACCAAGGGCCAACAGTCTCCCAGTTTCGACGTTCTCTTACTTCCTTAGGTTTTCGAAGGACTGTTGTACACGCTCCGGTAAGGGGAAATCTTATTTCTGAAAGCACTGATTTTGTCAAAGAAGTATGGTATCCATTGCGAATAATGAGCGAAACATACCAACAACCAGTTGTTGGGATTTAGCATCATGTAGATGTGTGAGTTGACAAACGGGTTGCATTTGTTCAGGAGCTGTTTTGGTAATAGCGGAGAAGGCGTATCTGTCTGGCTGCTATAGAAAGACTTGTGACTTCGGTTATTCTTGCTTTGGATAATCCCACAAATAGTGATGTCACTGTGAGCGTAGGTGTCACTTAAGTTTCCAGAATTGATTATATGGTCCATAGTGCGTTAGGAGCCTGCAACTTTCTTGGTAAGACGGAAGGGGATACGACGGAACTAGAACAGTTCTCCGCATACAAACAAACACTCATGCCACACCGGCCGTCGCGTGATGTTATCTGCCGGGTTGCCTTACTTGCTGCATGCAGCAGAGCGGGTAAGCGAAAATAGGTCACTACTGAAGCTTCCCTCCTTCCTATCCACTTACTTTTTCTTCCTCTCAATCCCATTACTTATTCTCCCCTTGTAGACCCGTCAGCTAAGACTGATGTCTCCGTTCGTCCTGTATCGGTTTGGCTAGCAACATCTGAGCGTCCTCCAGCCTTGATGCCTAGTGCATCTCGATTCCTTCAGTGTCCACAAGCGGATCAACAAGCTGATCTTTCTCCCATGCTGAACCCGCTTGACATTAATTTGTGGTAGTATTGTTAGTTGTAAGTGTCATGGTTGTACGAGGGTTGTCGGCGCCCACCCCTAGACAGCAGGATGATTAGGATCCTCAACCAAAGCCTTTGGCTCAAAAGCCTAACCGCAAGGCAGCGGTGTTTGGCGGGAAATGCAAATGCATAACCATTTCTACGGAGCAAGTCACATGTTCCAACCCTCAACCTGGAAGGTCAGGAGACTGTATTTGTCAGACCTCTAACCTGTGTATGGGAGGCAAGAATTGAAGATGCAGGCACAATGGTTGAGCTAACCACCCGACCACTCCACTCGCTTGCGGCTGCGCACCTCTGGTGATCCAGAGGCTGTTGCGACAGGATGTGCGGGGCTTAGTATTGTCCTTACTCACCAGGCGGTGGGATCCTTGCTTGATAGTCGCCTGTGAGCGGTTCGTTTGGCAAAGTCCGTGAATGCGTTTCACAAACGGGAAGTTGATCGATGTGTCCTTCGTGTCCGCTTATGCCCCAGCTGATTGTGGCTCTAACACCATCCAAGACAAGTTTTATGACATCTTGAATGACCTATTATAGCGGACTGCGAGCCAGAGATGTGAATGATCAAGTGGACAGGCTCGACGTGTCCGTTTAGACGCTCAACTTAACCGTTACACTGGATTATAAGCCAGTGTTTGACTCACAGCAACACCTTTCTCAAGGAGGAAGCTGTTGATCTCAGACGACATAAACGATGAGTCTCTGTCGGAATGGATGTAGGCTGGCACTCCGAACAAACAGAAAATTTGTGTGAGACAGTCAATCACAGTTGCCTGAGTTATGTCCGCACACGCAAATGCAAATAGGAACCTAAATAACTCGTCAATTATTGTGGGTAGGTAGCGGTTGGGTGTATTAGATGGCAAGGAACTTTTAAAATCCAAACTCAGGCGTTCAAAAGGTTGTGTTACTTTAATGAGTTTACCAGAGAATTTCCAGAATCTTGGATTTAGTTCGGCACACACTTTGTGGGAGGAAATACCGCGCTGGACATCGTCGACGGAGTAGGGAAGATTCTTGCTACGCACAAAATGAAACACGGGTAATGCCGGGGTGAAGAAGAGAAAGCGTTCAACTGTAGCACCCTTCCGGTGCCTAGCTGCCCTGCCACCCGAAGGTTGCACGTGGTCTGGGATACTGCCAGGTTGCCCAAGCCCAAACAGGGGAATTCGAGAGGCGGAGGTCGGACCGTCCGGTCATCTCACCGGGGTGGCAGAGGGAGGTATGGAGCTCTCCGAGTTGGTTATTTCTCCCCATGGAAGCACCTACATTTCGTGACAGTGTCTGCGACATGATTGCCCTTGCTAGGTCGGTATATGACATCATACTTGTACTCGGACAGCTCAATCCTCCATCGCTATATCTTGTCGTTTTTCACTTTACCCTTCTGTCCACCGCCGTACATGAATGTGACTGAACGCTGATGGGTGATAAGTTTGAAGAGTCTTCCGAGTAGATAGTGCCGCCATTTCCTGATGGATTCAACGATAGCGTAGGCCTCCTTCTCGATGGCAGAATGATTCTTCTCGCTCAGATTGAGTGTCCTCGAGAAAAAGGCCACCGGTCGACGGGATGCGCGTATAGCCACATCGGAGGCATCCGTTTCAACAACCAAAAGCTCGTTATAATCTCTTGTAATTAGTGTAGCATTTTCTAGTTCGTTCTCTAGGTTGTCGAAGGCCAACTCGACGTCGGCAGGTAAGGGGAAAGTTCTATTCTTTACCAGTTTGTTGATTTTGTCAGAAAATGAGGATATCCAATGACTTTTGAAGCAGTGCCAGTTTTGTCATCTTTGAGCGTGATCCCATACTTCCTCGTAGCTCTTAAAAATGAAGATTTGGGTCATGTTCATCTTGGGTATTGCCACAAGTAGTCACATTATCTGTGTAGGCATATGTGCTTTTCAGTCGTAATGACGCCTTAGAGTACTTTGGTCGTTTGTATTGCCAATTACGCTTGTGTCTTTTTTCAGATACCAGCCATCACAAGCAGATGTCGTCATTTACGAAGCCGTAAACAAAAAGCCCTCTGCGAAGTACGAAAACGCCGTCCGGTGGTATACGCACATTGAATCGTTCGGCGATGAACGACAATCTTTTCCGGGACAAAGGAAATCTGTTGACCAGTATGGTAGTGCAAGTAAGTGCAATCTTAGTCGCCTCTCTATTATCACTCCACTGTCCAATCTCCGAATTATCCGCAAACTTGTGCTGTTCCACTTCACTCGTATGGATCATAATAGAACTGGAATCCCGATGCAGTTATGGCAATACCGTTTTTTGTCTTTCCTATGATCAGGCTGCACATCACAGCCCTTAGTTGCCGTTCTTTCCTAGATTTTGGTAATCCGTTCATGTTAATGACTCGTTTATCTTCTCGGTTCCCGTAGTATCATTACTATGCGATAGACTGCCATTTGATTTCTAAATGCCATCGTTTCCTCTGTTCATGTGTTCTGTTTCAACCCTACTTCCCAATGCTCAGCTTCTGAAGTTTCAACAAAAGCTACCAAAGTTGAGGAGTACGACGATGATGACCTTTTCGGTTCAGATAGTGATGATGAACAGACAGAGCGACTTCGCCAGGAACGTCAAGCAGCACTCGATGCTCAAAAGTCCGCGAAGGCTGCACCGGTAGCGAGATCCACTATTGTGTTGGATGTGAAGCCATGGGATGACGAAACTGATATGGCTGAGTTGGAGCGGTGTGTACGAACTATCACTACTGATGGACTTTTATGGGGTAGTTCAAAGCTCGTTCCGCTTGCCTACGGGATTAGAAAGCTGCAAATTGGGTGTGTCGTGGAAGATGACAAGGTTGGTTTGATCTGATCAGCATTCATTATCCTGAGTTTACTGACAATTCTAGTAGTTGTTCACTTTACTCACTGGCACTTCTGCCAATTTAATACATCGAGGAAGCTCGCAGGATGAAATAGTGTCTAGGCTTTTAGCATTTGTGTGTGATATTGAGAACCGGTGACGACTGTTTTGGTTCTTGTCTCAGTAGGAGCTGGGGCGACTTTGCTTGGTGTCCTTTAGTTTCACTCATTACTTCTCTGAACAGTCACTGGTTGCCCTAAGTTCTATCGTCACATAAACAACACTGTCAACAAATGCGATTAATGTAAATTCCTTTGGTCCTTGTCTCATCCTCGTCAAAAGCAGCGCCACAACAGGATGGTTTGCTTTCGTGTAAGTGAAATGTGCGGTCGGATGAAACCTGAATTGATGGCATCTCAGGGTTTCCTAAAAAGGATCGACTCGTATTTACCCTGAAGACAACCTGTGCGTTAACCAGCCTTAAGGTGGAGTCAGTTTGTACCGTAATGGGATTAAACGGCACCTGTCTGCAGTCATGTCTCATAAGAATCGAAGCTGTATGGCATCATGAGCCTCCGGGAAGGGTTTGAGACAGCAGAAGCCGCTGTTGATGACGTGCTACCTTTTGGACTGCGACTGTTCACAATAACCAGGCTGAGCCATGTTTGATAGTCTCCAACCAATGTTGTGTCCATTCTCCGGGTCCCCATCCAGGGATACGGCAATGACCAGCGCAGCTGAGTTTGTTGGTAATGACTTTCATACTTCACTGCTTTGACCTTCGAAAAGGAATTTCCACCTACCGGCAGACGTCACGAAGAGACTGGACCTTATCGTGGTGTGACGGTTTGCGCACCTCAGCGATCCATTGAGCTATACTGGGGAGTGTCCCCGTGACATTCGGTCTCTCATACCAGGTTGGTCGATGGTTAGAGGTTTGACGAACACAGTCTCCTGGCCCTACTGTGCTCCTTTTCTCGGTATACACTATGCTTTAATTGCTATTGACGGATATTCTCGTTGGCCTGAAATTTTTCTGATCAAGTCCCCAAGTGCCGGATTCACTCGGCAAGCATTGGGTAAGTGTTCCGCCACGAAGTTGTACCTACTTGTAACGAACGTTTCGAATTCTTGAGCAACGAGCAACAAAGTTAGCATCCAAACCGGCAAAACTCCAAGCAAATGGCTACGCAAATGTGCTGTACTATGAAAATGAAAGTAGTTATACGGAATAAAAAAATACAAACGTCAACGGTTTTCGACAAACGGTGAGGCACTCCAAAGGGCAAGCAAAGCAGATATGGATCAACAGTCAACGCGTGACCGAAACCGAGTCTCAAACTCATGAATTAAAACAATATATAGCTGCCCAAGGATTTGGTACAAAAGAGTATAACCAGAGCGGTTAAAACGATTTGCGCATTAAGGAAAACTGAGAAGAAATGGTATGGATTGGCATTTCCCGCCAAACACCGCTGCCTCGCTGTTGGGTTTTTGAGCCAAAGGCTTTGGTTGAGGACCCTAATCGTCCTCCTGTCTGGGTGTGGGCGCCCTGGCATAATCCCTAGTACAACCAGGACATTCACAACTAACAATAGTTTCATGCCACATCGGCCGTCGCGTGGTGCCACCAGCCGCGTCACCTTACTTGCATCATACAGCAGGCCGGGTAAGCGAAAACATGCTACTGCTGACGCCCTTCCTCGAGCAATGGTTGAAGGGTGTTCGATGTCGACATCTGTTTACTGCCCCGTGACATCCCCAGTCGAATGGACTTGCTCCACATTCTTTTTCTACTTCCTCTCCCTACCCCATTAGTAACTCTCTACTTGTAGGCCCAGAACTTAGGTCTGATGACTCCGTTCATCATTCATCGGTTTCGTGTGCAGGACCTGCTCGTCAAATGGCACCGACATCTTCAGGAATCATCATCATCATCATCATCATCATCATCATCATCATCATCATCATCATCCATCATCCATCATCATCCATCATCCATCAATCATCCATCATCCATCAATCATCCATCATCCGACACTGTGGTGTTTGCCGGAGATATGAATGCGCAAGTGGAAATGCTTAGTGACTCTGAGACTCAATCAGGTGGGGAATGGTACTTTCATCAAATGTCAAAAGAATGGTCACGATTCCCGATTTAGATGATCTCTCTTGTCATCGGAGACACATTGACCAGGTTGAGTTCAATACCAGAGGTCAGTCTGTTAACGGTAATCCTGCTGTTTCAAATGCTGATAAGTCCTTTGTAGATGATCTTATGGTAACCGAACAAAACGTATCTGAAGGACACAAACTGTTAACAGTCTTAAGTACCCATTCCGAGAATATCCGAAATATTGATTTCGAGACCATCACTGGACTATAAACATCCACACAGAGGCTGGCCACAAACGCAAATCGACCACATTGCCATCAGTTACCGATGGCGCGGATCGTTTTGAAACACCTTTATGGACTCTGATTACGCGCTCCTCCGGAGTCGCTTCACCCTACGTTTCCCGGGGTCGCGTAAGTTGCGGACAAATCCCACGGCAACTGAAAGACTGGCAGATCCGGATGTCAGACGAATTTATAAGAATCGTCTTCTAGAGTCTCTTCCAAATATTCGCCAACTGGAATACATACGTGCTGGTTGTTACGCTGCGCTGAATTCTGGCTTTCTAGTTCGTCTGGTTATACCGATATACGTACGAAACTTAATTCTGACAGTGATATTCTACATTCCAAACTTCATGCACTCTCCGGCGCATCGGAAACCACGTAAAGCTTGGCAGCATATAGCTGCACCGCTAATATTTTTTATTCTTCACCTGTCCCCTTGAAGAACGAGCGTCTCTGCCAAGTTCATTTCAATACCAAGGTTGCAGTTGACAACTGCGTGTTTGGCAGTCCGAGTGCATATCCAAACGATGCAAGTACATGGGACTGGCTTTAGATTATCATGCGCTTAGCTGTCACGCCACCCGTAGAAGGCAGGATGGATGGAATAATGACAGTTTGCCCAATCTCGGAGGAGGGGGCCACGGGGCGGAGGTCGGGTTGGAACCACGGACCTTCTGGCACTCTTCTAAGTGAAGTAGAAACCTGCATGGTGAACGTGGAACCACCTAAGGCCTCGGAGGTTTACGACTGCATATGTTCTCCCAGGTGCCACTGAGCTCCTGATCCGGATGGCCTTCCACCCGCACTGTTCAAAGGCGGAGGTGAAGTCCTCAGTCAGTGCTTGTCCGATCTGTTTGCTTGCATTTGGGAAACTTCAGTAAATTGCACTCTAACTGCTGATCCATCTCTCAGCGTGTTGTTCTGGACAGACTCCATGTCATCTCCCCATTACATACATATATCGCATCTTCTAGAGTTTGAAAAAGTTGCTGGAAACCAACCAACAGTTGTTCGTGATATATCGCCGCCTACTCATTTGAGACGTGGAAACCCAGAGAACAGTCAAACGGGCGTTGCCTCATGAGAGGCAAAACTTCAGCCCACGGTGCGTACAGCCCACTACACTAAGTAGTAAACGGACTGCATGGGCTTGATTAACGCAGCCAAATTGGTTCAAGATGAAAACCTTTGCAGCATGGGTTAATGAACCCCAGCGAAATGACGGTATGTGCCCTGTAAGATCCGGACGGTTAAGGATCTNCTAACGGATCGACAAAGTGGATGAGAGTTTCAAGTTTGTGGGGTTTGTTGGTTATGTTGGTTCATGTTACTGGAGGAATTGTTTCTTCCCACATAAGCTACTATCCAGTAGGTTTAGTGCATTCGAGCTCATTTGTGCTCCAAGCTCCAAAAGATGCAAAATTCTTGAGTATGGGTTCAGACGTTGCAGATTGGACAAATATCTGTCTTACTCTGCCACCGAAAGTAATTTGAGAAGGTAAACGTATGATGGGGCAACCTGAGGGCCAAGCTTATGGAAGTGAGTGTTTGGCGCATGAATATGATTTTTCTGCAGGGTACTAACCGATACAGCATACCTTTTGGATATCCATCGGGGAAGTCCGCTCCACCATGTCATTTGAACCTGGGATCCTCACAACTGGGACACGCGTTTTTATACACTGTGATGTTTTTTTGGTGCATTGAGCGCGGTTTTTGGTGTTTTGCAATCTGGTTGTGATTCGTTCACCTTTTCTTTTCTCACCAAAGGCACGTGTAACACGGGACGCTGATGAATATCTTATCAACCCACTCGGTCTACTGTATCACGAAGTGACGGCCTCTTCTCTAGCAAAAGTTAACTTGAAAGGTAAGCATGCTGACTTGTCTGTTAATCATACTGTTTGTAGCAAATGAGCCTTGATTATTCAGAGTGGCCTATTTTCCGACCTCATCAGTTTATCGGATCTGCCGGTTCGTTGTGATCCGTGGGTCGATTCATGCTCGCTTACTGATTTATGAATGCCTATTAGGACACGTCACGTGACCTTAAGCAATCTGTTGAAATAAGCTGACGCCTTACCAATCGGAGAATGTCATGAGAGGCGGGGCGCACAGCCACAACCATTGTTACTCTCTGTTTGATAGCATACAGTGATTCAAAAGCATCTTCCATTAGGTATCGAATATACTATCAATTTTAAATTGGGGGCGAGATGGCCCAAGTGGTAAGAGCGCGAATTTACTGACCGGAAGTTCCGTGGTTCGAATCCTACCTCCGCCTCTCGACTTCCCCTATCTAGCCTTGGGCGACCTGGCAGTATCCCAGCCCTCGTGCTTTCTTCGGGTAGCATGACAACTAGGCACCGGAAGGAAGCTACTACTGATCACTTATACTATCACTATCTCACACTATAGCCGCTCCAGTAGATATTAGTTAGTTGCCCCCAACAAAACGACAGTTACGCACCGAAGCCATTGGACCGTACATTACAGTCAAACTTTCTTAGACTTTCATTGCTTTAGATTGTTCAGGGGTAAATAAAAATTATTGCTGCTGTTTCACCTAAGATCAAAACATCTGACCGACAGTTCGAATGAAAGCCAGTCGGCTACCAAATCAAGCTTGACATTCACGTCCGTTCTGTGTAACTATTATTTTATATTACTATTATTATTGTTATTATTATTAATTATTGTCGATGTCCAAATTCTGAGCAGACCAACGTCATTAAACCTCCTGCTTGTTTTCGCAGTAATTTCCTGATGGTTTTGAAGGACATTAGGAAACCATCAGTAGCACGTTCATAGTTCAGGGAATAGGCATTTGCACCTACAATTCCTCCCCCCTCGGTGGACTCTCATTGTATTGCTTTATATGAGTATTGGACAATGCTTATACCTGACAATCATCAACAATCACTCTATCCTGTTCCTTCAAACTTCGAAACCAACATTTCCGAAAGAGACTCCTCGGTACATCATCATTCATCATCGTCATGGACAGCACGACATCAGTATTCAACACCGATGGTTCGCTGCCGTACAACTATAATTCATTTGAAAGTCTCATTGTGACGAAAATGATACAATTGGACAAGGAAGGGACTTATTGCTAATTTACTACAATCATTCTTAGGTGCCTACACCTCCAGACACTCATTCAGGCAATCTGGATAGAGACTGACAACAAGAACGCAAATGATATCAATTGGCAGCCATATCTTACAGCGTCTCCAACCGGACACAGTGGAGATCACGCGCTCCTTATCCTGGAACGCGGGTAGCACCTACAGCACCCGGACGTTTCGTTATCTCTTTCAGGCCCTTTTGCCAGCTCAAGGGTTGGCCACCTCTCTGTATCCGCCACTCTGAATTGAGCACGGAAAACAGCTTTCTTCAGCAATCGATGGTTTGACGTGAGTAATACATGGCCTAACCGGCACACTTTCTGGTGCTGGACACCAGCCCACACGAGCTGTGGTTCTGAGACAATGGTTGTCGAACACATGAAGAGGCTCGCTTTCGCTGCTCGAACAGGCCAAGTCTCACGGTCATACAACAAAACAGCTCGTACTGTAGGCTGATGCAGACGTCCCTTGAGATTCGGGGATATACCGCTTTAACGCCACGTGTCTTAAATTAGCGAACAAGACGCGAGCCTTGCAGATCCGTGCGGCCAGTGCGTTTATTAGTCCCAAGGGTATGGTCTAAGACCTGTGAAGACCCGCGGGTGCGGGTGTTTTTTGGTTGACTTATCTTCCCAGACTTTCGCTTACAAATATTTCGAAATAAAGTCTGAACCTGAGAGTTATCGTGCATCTTGGGGTCACTCGAATGTTTTGCTGATCCGCACTAGCGGGGACGAGTCTCGTCGTTCGCACAAACGAAGATTACTGTCACTGTTTACTAATGCAATTAAACCCAAGGCCATCCTGACAGACGGATAGCGCTTCTCTCCAACAGTTTATTGAGCATAGCATTCAGCTGAGACCGGCGTTTACTGGCAGTAGTTTTGTTGCATGCCGGAATGCGGGATTGCCTCGTGTCAATATAATGCTGCATCAGTTTGGTTCGGCGGACTGGGTCATCTCCCTCACGTCATGGTACCCTGCGCTAGAACTTAGGTACTGATTACGTCGGTGAAATCGAAGTTGTACTGGGACGACTATGCGAATACAGTTGCGGTTTTTATACTTTGTTTCTTCATATGCATCCCATCTGTGTCGTCAAACACGAGTTACGCAGTAAGAAGCCCCAAGTTTGACGTGGATGCACTGTTTATTGGGTCACAGATCCCTAAAACCCACGGCTATACAAACTGTCGTCTTCAACCACGGAAAGTTTGAACAAAGTTGGGTCCATCGGTCCATACGAGATGAGCAATTTATTGTCTGTGGTCAGGGTACTTACGGGTTTTTGCCATTCCGGGACTTCCGTTCACATGAAGACCTCTTGTCATCAGAGGCTAAGATAATTGTTGGTCTACTGGGCTTACTAAAAGACGGTTCCCATCCCGTTACGGTGTTGATTACACACGCTGTAGTTTGCTGACGAATAACCGGACAGTTTTTCTTACTAGTTCAACAGTACTTGAAACACGATACTTGTAAGTTGGTAGTCTATGTGACAGGGCTTACGGTGTTTGACTGACAATATCACGCACCATCCTTCGAGCAACATCGCTGGAGTGTGTTCAAACAACGAGGATAACTTCCTCGATATATCCGTCCCAGTCAGAGCACTTACATTGAACAGAGTGGGCTGCCATTAGACAGGATGTAGCACCGCTTTTCCTTCAATCACTTGGTTTAAGCAGGTCGGATTTCGACTGCGTCTTCCACTGGCAACCTCTCAGGCAAAGGCTCATGTGACTATCGGGACATTTCCTCTCTGATCAGGTTACTTAATCTATGAGTGGTAAAGATTAAAGTGTTGTACAGCTATGAGTGATGTTAGAGTGAACCCAATGGTTACTTTGTAAGTGCTTTAACAACCGCCACAGTCGGAGAATCGCCAACATTTGCTAAATCTTCCGCATTTTCCATCGCTGACTAACAGGCGCTATTCTAGACCCGGGTACAGTTGCCCTTGGAATCGATAGACAAGGTTGGATGTTGCACGCTGCGGTGCACGAGGCCCGGCCAGATGTACGATGCATCATTCATTTGAACACACCCGCTACTATTGCTGTGAGTTTTTTTTTCAGTTTGTTCTTTGTCCTGACCCATTAACGAAGCTTCCAAAGCTGATTGATTCGTTTCCTCAGATCCTGACACCTAGTGTGTACAGCACATTCGGGTCTGGTCATTCAGTTCGAAGTCAATCTATGGCCTGAGTCTATTGTGTCGGTTATTGCTTTGGAGTTAGTCGGATTGAATGGTAAATGAACCTTTGATGTAATTCCAGTTTTCGCGAATATTCAGGCATGTAGTGGACTCTCAGCTGTTCGAGTGGAGGTTTGAATCAATCATGTCCTAGCTTTACTTTCCCTTTATTTCTTACCTCAGCACGTTGCGCCATTTTATTACATAGTTGTACTGTGGTACACGAGATCATGGAGCTAATGGTACCGTCTAATCACACGCAGATGAAATATAAAAAAAACGGTTAAGTTATTCCGCGAACCTGTGTAAAAATAGCTCAAACTTTGACCTCTGAGTTGTGCCATGCTTTCATTGTGAGATGCTCGAAACCTCAAATGTTTATTTCATCTGAATTTGAATTCACAGCATTCAACCTTCAGCGCTACTCACGCATCCTTCTAGAACTCAGTCTTTTATTCGAACGAAAGTACGTGTTTTTCGCTATGCATTCATGTGTGGGTGAACTTGTGATTCTCCACATCACCATGCAAACTTTGATGCTGTCGAACTGTGACTTTTTCTGGCGGGTTTAGTTATTTCCCATGCGCGGATTTTCCACAGTGTCGCTCAGACTTTGGCTTTGTTGGCTTTCTTCTGTTTAGCTCTACTCGGTCACATCTTCCTCATGAGGTAGCATGAAAGAAGCTAGCGAGTTTTTGTCATGTTGGTGCGACTATCAAGAGAATTCTATGAGAACCAGTTGCGTTTGTTTCGATAGACTGTGTTGCTCTGTTAACTTCCATATTCTAAGTGATGATTGTTTGTCTTTTTCCGAGGTGTTATTCACTCTATATCTATGCTATTCATTTAAAGGTTTCGTGTACAAATAGCGGGCTGTTACCGATCAGTCAGGAGGCCATGATACTCGGAGAGACTGCCGTATATGACCCTAGTGGCTTGGCCTTAACAAACGGGCAAGGGGACTCGAGTGAAGATCCTACTGCGCGCCGGGAAAGACGCTGTTCTGAAGAGCGTCAAGCCATCGCTGCGATCCTTAAGGCACAGTCTCAAGACTGCATGCTTTTAATGATTAAGAATCACGGGCTTTTGGCCATGGGACAGACAATCGAGGAAGCTTGGTTCGTGGCGTTTACTGCGATTGTGGCTTGCGAAGCACAGGTAAGCCGTTTTCTTTTATTCCTCTCCACGAACGGGCTGTGTATCACCGTTTACCGAGCTCTGTTCTCTATCCGTGTGTGTTATCAACTCACGCTAACTCCTCAAACGCCGAATAGCACAAAACTTGAGGAGTCATGGAGCGTGCTATGGACAACCAAAGCCCGGAAGGTTAAGTAAGCTCTGACAACGAGAAACAATCTCATTGTGTTTCAGCTAATAAGACAGTCTTGTCCAAAGAAGTTGGGTTTTAGCGGAACTGTCAATGAAGGGAATGTAGTCTCAGTTTAGTCACGGAAATATCGCCTTGAATGGTAGGCTGAACACTTTGCAGAACAGTTTTGATGGTCACCATCAACTCAGTCTGCGGAATCTGAATGGAATATTGACACCAGTTCTTCATCCATGAATGAAAATCAGCGTGGAATCCTTTTTTGTGAGAAAGCACCCGGTTCAGACTAGTTACATTCTGCACCTTTCACGGAAGATGATAATTGCCTTGCTACCAGCTGGACCACCCTACTCCAAGGTATCTGGAATGAAGATAGAATACCGACAAAATAGAACACTTTGAATCGATCATACCATCACTTTGTATCACTTGCTTGAATTGCACCAGTAATAGTCCTTTTTCCCGTCCTAAAAGTTACTTTAGACGCTGTCAACCCTCAGGAACTATGAAGGGTGTCCCTTACAATGGTGGTGTATGTCCCTACTGCTCGGCCTACCATCATGCGCTTCATACCCACAAAGTCAACCTGAAGAACAAATTTATCTGCGGAATTAGAGCGGCGTTTGCAAACTGACGTTTGTAGTACCGGTCTGACATCAGTGTGGATCTCAAGTATAGATAGCACACTGTTGCAGTACAGTTTATTGTGCTTTATGGCTGCAGAATGCATGAGGTTTTGGTTCACCAGTTGTGTATCAGAAACATCCCATGAATTTCCTGGGAACATCGGGCCATTGATGCTGAGGTAAACAACGAAGGGGTAGGTCTCTTCAATGGATCAACCCTCAGCGGATTAGTAGGTTACATTAATCCGTCCGCCGATAGTTCGTGAATGTGTGCACTCGTAAGAACGTGACTTGACGATACAATCAATAGTGAAACGCTTGATTCGGGTTTCGTGGAATGAACGCCATTCTGAGCGGCACGTGCCTATCAACTTAACAATCAGGCTTCAGGTTGTCCATTGCTGTAGTACAAGTCTCAATCTTATGTTCGTCGGTAACTGGGTCACAGACCGAATCGCTGGAGTTTTCGGTTGTCCGATCGCCAAACTAAGGTATGCAACCTGGTTTACGATTTAATCCGTCACTACGTTTAGCCCAGTCATTTAAGCCGAATACGTGATAGTGATTTCGTTGCTGGATCGAAATAACATAGTTTCACTGTGTGACATGTTCACTAGGTTTGTTTGAATCCACTTATTGCTGCTTTGTAAGTTGGCTGAGATAATAAAATAGTCGTTCAGCTGCAACACCCCTTCGGTGCATAGCTGGCAAGCCACTCGAAGGAAGCACGATGACTGAGATACTTCCAGGTCCCTCAAGACTAAATGGAAACAGTCGAGATACAGAGGCTGGGTTCGAACAAGAACCTTCTGATCAGTAAGTTCGCACCTTAATCACTGATCTCTCTCGAGCTCTATGGTGTGGTGTTGAAGGATACGGAGTTTTTACGGTATTCATGTGGGACATCCTGAGGAATAGTTTTAAATTCCCTTGGGCTTACCGTGAAAATTTACATAAGCAATAAAGACACCGCCGGGTCGAACTAGCAACAGAAATAAACCTCTGGGACCGAAATCCCCTCTGAAAGAGACACTGCTTGACTAGCTGGTGTTTCTTAAACTTTATATCCCCGTTATGCATCTTCTGTCTCAAATGTTTTCAGGTTTATGACGCATCGTCATGTTTTAACAACAACTTGTGAAGATCCCAATCACAATAAACTGACCCACCTTAGTATGGACAGGTTTTGTCGAGCAGTCACATTGGAACTTGTTTGTGTAGCTGATTATCAGTTGAACCGTCAACGTTATTTACTTGTTCGTGTGTGTGGTCACGTGTCCTCTTGTTAGTAGAGATCCTAACTACAAGTAGTCTATAGTTTTAAGTTCCTGTTTACTAGGGTAACGTCAGCGTGACATACAACTATTTCTTGATAGGGAGAATCACTATTATTCTCAGCTTGGCCAGTCAATATGCACTCGTGAGAATTGTGAGAAAAGAACCCCGGAAACAGTTTGCTCCCTTTCTATGTGCCCAGCTATTCGAATGAAAACGAGCACTTCATCACTAGAACAGCTGGATTTCAGTAAATCGCAGATCCTGTCCAAGAATAAAAGGGTGCAGCTCGGTAGCACACAGTGTTCATAGAATGTCAGGGTATATGTACTGGAACTTGAATACGCTGGCCCAAAAATCCTTCCTATATGGGGGAAAACGTTGGTCGTGCGACTGAGAAAGTGATACTGTATGACGCATATATGAAGCCTTGCTCATATGACAGACTGCAAACGTGGTTGAGAAACCCCACTTCCAGGTAGTAAAAGTGGAGGCTAAAAAGCTCATGCAGATAATTTTAGAGGTTTACGTCTATCAATTTGTTATTCGTTACTGGGGTTCTGCAGAATGCACTTGATTTAGATTTGTGTTCAGGTTGTCTCCAAACTACGGCTCGTTTAGGGTGGTACCGATAAATTCGCTTGGTAGCAATTAGAAAACGAGTGTCCGTTTGCCGAAGTAAGTGCCGCTTTCCGTGTTTAGTTCAGAGTGCCGCAAGTAGGGAGGTAGTCAAACTTTGGCCTGGCGTAGATATGTGAAAGTGGTTAAGAAAGGTTTGGGTACCGTCGATGCGACTCGCCTTCTCTAGGTTGGGGTTCGGGTGGTCCCCTCTCTGCATGACGACCTTACTGTCAGTCTTTATCCAAATTGTGTTCAGGTGTACGTATCTCCCATTTTTTCCACAAGGCCTTCAAATGAACATCGGCTGTACGGCAGTGAAGCACCTGTGTTGAACACTCATGTGTTGTCGATGATGATGACAATGGTGGTGATAATGATAAACGATGATAGTAATGGTCGGTCGTGCATTCGCACTTGGACACATTTCAGATGTATACTGTTGAGTGGTCAGTACTGCTATCTCTCTTCTCTGTGTGTAGTTGTCCACTATCGTTCACTTCCTCTTTGCCAGCTCCGACTCGCTTCTATCAGTCCGGACGAGCTCATACTCCCAGTGAAAGAAGCCCAACAAGCGGCACATTATGTGGGTCGCGCCCCATCTGCCGTTCAGCTCCGTCCTGGAGAGAACGTCGGTAGTTCTGGTTGGCGTCGTGGAGAGCTTGAGTTTGAGGCGATGATGAGACGTTTAGATGCGGCAGGCTATCACACAGGGCACGTGTATCGTCTTGCACAGATTCATTCAACTACGGGTGCAGTCGGCACACTTCCACGTCCCTTAGAAGACATTCCTGATGACGTGGCTGTGACGGAACCTATGACACCTCGAGCTGCTGCTGCGTACGTTCGAAAGACCGCCAGTTTGGGGAGAGGCTTGCGTGGTCTGAAAGACGTCGAGATACCTCCGGCCGCGTCATCCTTCGCTACTGCGTACTATGGGGACGATGAGTCCCGGTAAGATTGACTAACCATTTCATCTGTTCGTTTATTGTCTTCATGAGCATGTTCGTTCTATTCATCATCCGAGGATCATCTACCCATCGGGCACGTATTCCGAATATGGAAGACTGTCGGTTAGACCATTTGTTGATTTCTTCACTTAGGCTCCTAGTCTTTTCTTACCATTTGCACTTTTTCCCTTTTTTCTCTTTAAGTGCTGCGGCTGCGGCAGAAGCAAGGGCTAAAACACTGTCCCTCTCACGTACTCATTGGCTGAACACTCCGAACTCATACTGTCGCAAAGATATTGCCGAGATTGGTACACCGACTCCAAAAATGATAGCCCACTGGACCGAGGATATTGACCAGGCGAAACGTCGCACTGGCGGTATGGCGGTCCCTATCGACGATCCAAACCAGTTCGCGCCACAAGGTGCTGATCCTTATGAACTGAAAAGACGTCAAAGAAAAGTATGTTTTAACTGTTATACAGTATTTCATCGGGATCACCAGTTGTGCCATTCAAATCACCTTAGTACGATTACCCCTAGGGATGACCGTTTTCGAAAAGTAGTTAATAGTGATCCTGACGACTGACCTCTCGTGACCGTTACCGCATTCCACTTTCATTCCATCCCGCGTGAAATGCCTTACCGCTTCAGAACGTAGCGTCTTTGATCTGGACGCCATGTTCTGTTGTTGCCTATCGATCGGGCCGTTTGGCGTGCCAACTTCCATGATTGTTTGTATGTCTCTGATTAGTTCACATTCACACGGCACTTATGTCGAGTTTTCACTCACACCGAATATGTGCGTACGCGTAAGCCTGCGCGCGCACAGAATAGTAGGTATATGCATGCCTTCATCGATTGAAAACCACTTCGGACATCCGTCCTTTAGAATTAAATCTTGTTTTAGATTCTGTGATTCTGTCTCCAACTTGACCGAATAACTCATCCACTCTAATTCATACAGACGGGATGCAGTTACCGGCGTCATTCTGGAGCAACTTCAGACTTCGGATATAGCCGATATTTATGAAATAGGTTCTCTCGTTCTATGACGTTGTTTGAACAAGGCAGTCATCAGAATAAGATAGTTGTGGAAATATCCTAGGCCTATTGTAGGGTATTCATCAGTTGAATGCGTTATTTAGATGATACCAGCTGTTAACATTACTTAGTTACCATGCGGATTTCACGCGAATCTGTGTGGCTGAATTAAGAGTTTTCTTCCCTTTGTAGGTGAAAGAAAAGTACTACAAAGATGTAACAACTGCCGGACCACGATCGCGTATTTTGGAGGGCCTTAATTTAGATGACGAAGGTGATCTCACAGATGGAGGGACATCTCCAGTTGTTAGTCCCAGAGGAACGCTGCTACGCATCGACCCCAACAATCCACCAACCGTCGAACCTGGTCATGTGGTTATAGTTGGTGCCGTGAGCAAAGGCATCATAAGTCGGGACCATCGGCACAATGCTGGCATTTACCAATCGGTCTATGCACCAAATCCTTTCGATCGCGTGACTGATGAGGATCTAGAACGCTATCGAGAGAACATGGATCGCAAAGCCAAAGGTTTACCATCTTTAGAGGAAGAGGAGGCTGCATCTCGAGTGGAGGAGGCCCGGAAGGCGGCTGAAGTCGCCCGGCAGGTTATGGAGGCCGCGGCTGGTCAACCTCAGCAACGATGTAAGAGACTTGTATTAAGCGTAATCACCATCTATTTCTCCTTAACCCGTGGAACTCCACACACTGCAATATCTGAAGTGGTAACATACTGTTGTTTGAAGCGGAAATCGAGTATGAGATTATGAGTAATTCTGGCAAAGTCAACACTACACGAGCTTTCCATAAAATTTGCAACATATCGGAGGAAGCTGAAAGCTCAGTGTTCTGATGCGGTATTCGGGTGATGAAAAGTACCGTCCATATTCAGCTTTAGGTTCCCCGATGATGATTCATCCAGTGTATCCCATTTTACTAGTAATTGTGAACGCAGTATCTGTAAGATAAGTCAACTGCCAATCGGCCAGACAGTTCATATCTAGACAAATAAATAATGAAACTGAGCAGAGCATCCGTCCGATGGAGCACACGATTGCTTTCTTCCCTCGCGTACATCAGCTGGAGTGACTGCTTCACGTCTCATTTCACGTTGGCCGTTTTTAGGATCCCATGAGTGGATCCGAATTCATTGTCCTTATTCACGAAACTTGCAGTGTTGAGCGGACTTTTGATGGGCGTGATGGAGTTAACTTTTCCTGGTGCTTTTCGTCCTGGTTGCTACACATTTGCACGACCGATATACTCTGCGAAATTTTGAAAAAGTTGAAACCTAATCTCTATCGTCGAGTTGTGGACTGGCATCCAGTTTTCCGGATTCAAGCGAACGCAGCCGGAATTGGTTGCACTTCAGATAGGGACATTTCTAGGATTAAATGTCACTTCTAGGAATTATTTCCTCTGAATAGCATGCTAAGATGGCCGTATTGCCCTATACAGAGATCCATCCCAAATTAGAGGCGCTTTGACCCAGTGAAAGGAGTTGTGATCAACACTCCTCAGTAATGTCTTCTCTAATGATCAGGAAATTGTAGAAACTGAACTTCCGAGGTCTATCTAGTTAGATGTTTAAGTCAGAAGGTGACATAAAAATATTCAAAACGTTTTGCCTTTGCGTTAGAAGCCTAGAAGCCGGCGCCACCTGGTCACTCTGGAGCAGTGTTTTTCAACCGGAGAGGAGGATTACGCAGTGCTTACTTACGTTCAAGTTCACATTGACCGTTTGAACAGTCGCCCTCCTGTCCTGGCATAATTATTCTGGTGAGTGCACACCAAAGGGGGAAGCACTGGACCCCATTTTCGCTCTTTTTAGAGCTCTTCAGCGGTGCTTATCCTTGGTCGTGCCGGGGTTTGGACTCCGGATGACTGAACTACTCCACCAGCGCACGCTGGATGCATCCTCTTGTCTGAACTGGTGAACGTGTTCACGCTGGACGGATGACTGACTCCACCAGCGCACGCTGGATGCATCCTCTTGTCTGAACTGGTGAACGTGTTCACGCTGGAGCGATGTGGTTGGTTCGCCCATCATCTGATAACTATCCACCGATTGGTGGACAAGGTACTGTACCCTCCAAACGAGGTCACCATGAGGGAAGGATTTTGGCCTTGACTGGGGGTAGCTTCTCTTCAGATGGATTGCATACGCGGGCGTTCTTGATAAGAACCCTCCATGGCGATGATCCCTCTCAGAATGCGATTACTCTAAACACTTGCGATCGAATTTGTGCAGCATAGGATCGATGCTAGCTTCTCCACGTTTACTTCCTTCCTCTCCCTAATCGTTCCCAGTATTCTTTCGAACTACGAATGAGGGCACATTGTTCAGTCTCGTTTTGCTATTCACCCGCTGTGTACGGTGATAGTCCATTGGCACTTATTTCCGGTTGATGCTATCGGTCTTATCTTCAGTCAACACTGTGGTATTACCAGTCGATTTCATGGTACCTCGAGTAGATATTTCGTGTTCACACCTACTATCCCATCGTCACCCGTTAAGTGCCACATTTCGTTCTCCTTTCATATCATTAGCAAGGTTCTGTTTTCGTCGTAGCTTCAAGGAAGTGGCGATGAAAAAGGATATGTTAGAAGACCAGACGGTGGCTGATTGTAGCAATACTCTGGCAGACCTGTCATCCAGTATTTTGTGCTCTACAGTTACTTCTGCTTGTCTGTGCGAAGCAGAAAAGCGCCTGCTCACACGTCAGTCGACCATCAGTTCCAAGTTTGGTACGGATTCGGAATGTGCACGCGTCACTTTCCGAAGCACTAGCGTTGATACGCTGGCGAGCAGTCTGACCAATGGATCCCCGTCGTTCGCTCATACCAACAAATCATCTGATTCTGACCCGCCACCCTGTCCTCGAGTACTCGTCAGACGCCACAGTGCGTTTCGGTGCTGGTACTGGTCACCAAACATGACACTGCGTTCAGACCCGGTGTCACGGATCACTCCGCTCGACAAATCTGTCAGCGAAACGGGGCAGACTCTGAAGCTGGGCTCTCGTTTTCTCAAACGACACAAAACATTCATTGGTCTAACAACGCCCGAACCAGATGAAAAGCCACAGTTTAGGGATCAACTTCCCGCGTCCATGTTTCCAGTTCGTAGATTTTCCGATCGTGTCGGCCGATCAGTTGCCTGGCGTCCTGGGGCCATCATCCGATTTCACCACAGCGGGAACTCTGAAGTTTCTCCCTGTCACTCTGGCGACAACACAAGTATCCCCACGCTCGTTTTTTCTTGTTTTGTTCTGTGTTTATGTTCGATCACTCAGTCAGGTTTCCAACACTCGTGATAGGCACATTTTGTTCACTTTCCCTCTGTTTGTCTAGATGTGTCATCCAAAAGTCCCGAGCGTGATACTGGAAGATACACCAGTGGTGCGGAGGCCAGTCATGATGACACAGAAAAAGAGGTATGTTTTGATTGCTCTGATGCAGGAACAGATCGACGTTGGCTGAACAGTAGCCTAGTGGTTTGTGACACGGCGCGCTGTGATTTTGCTCAGGCGTATTAGCAGTACGGTTTTGAAACTACAAATCTCACACAGCCTACAACGTAATCGACTTGTCATTTTTTGAGTAACGGAATACCGGGCTGACATTGAATTGTTTTGAGTTTTCTGAATAAAACAGTCGAGCACCTCAAAAATGGCGGCTAATCTTCTTACCGATGGTTCAGTGGAAATCATTGGCCAGAGGGTCTGCGATTCGAACCGAATTCGGGCTTCTCGATTGCTTCCCTTTAATTTTGGGCTACCCGTAGTGTTCCAGCCTTTGTGCTTCCCCCCAGTTGTAAGGCAACTATGCACATCGGCTTTGCACATCACTCCCGATTTCGGAGGCCTGTACAGACTAGTAGGGCGCAATTTTTCGACGATCCTCAATGGGAATCATGAAGTCTCGGAAATTGGAAATCCATAACTCAAGAGGCCAGTCAGCATCACATCACATAACGTAACCTGTCTGACTAAAGTCTGAGTGTCTCGCACAAGTACAAGTTAATCGAAATGCTGATTAGTTAGCCCCAGCTTACTGATAGCGTTCACTCCCTAATCGAGAGGTTGCAGACTCGAATACCCCCGAACTTGATGTGATGCGCGCTGCTGAAGAGTTTGAGTAGGACTGAAACAACTATATACACTTTTTGCAGGTAGCAAGATGGCTCAGTGGTTAAAGCGCGAATTTACTGACCGGAAGCTCCGTGGTTCGAACCCGACCTCTGCCTCTCGAATTCTCCTGTCTAGATTTGGGCAACCTGGCAGTATCCCAGCCCTCGTGTTTGCTTTGGGCGACATGGCAGCTAGGCACCGAAATGGTGTCCCAGCTACACGCTTTTCTTTATTATTTTTTAATTCTCGTTCTGCTGGCTCCTGTATACCTTAGCTGGATAAGCCAGCTAGACTTTTGTCCATATTCAGGTCGTACACTGTGGCAGCTACAACCAGTGTACGACCAGTACGCGGTTATTACAGCTGATAATAATGATGATGATCATTCAGTCTTGGCTCCCACCTATTGCGTTAGTTTTGAGGCGGATGGATATTACAATGGTGCTCAGTTATTTGACTGTTGATCTCTTCACTGAACTTAACAGTTGGCTTGCAAACGCTTCGTAACCAGTCGAGAAGTCATCAGCATAATTGCGCACCAACTACCCACCGAACAGATCAGTGACCAGGTGCTCGGTCACCAATAAACACACCGCAACTACCAGTACTCCGACACATTTTTGATATTGCCTTGGTTTAATTTTAAATATCGGGCGGAATCATCAATTGTTCCATTGAACTACGGCTACTGATGTCTTTATTGTGCTTCATACAGCTGATGAAAAACGCGTTAACCTATACTTTTTATATAGTCTCATGAATGGTCTGGCATTCTCGTGGGAACCACATTACTCTACAGAAGCTTCTGTGTTCATTTTCCGAAACGTCTGAACTAGGGATCCTCAGTTGAATTCAGTGCTTATCAGGTTCAGATACGGTATGCTGTGATGTGCGTGCTCACCTAGTGAGTCGTCATCTAGAGTCTAATGCCAGAAATTTTCTCCCGGCCCTCTTCGGATTCTGTGTAGCCGACACTGGCCAATCACAGCTTGCTAATCACCACCTCACTCTTATGGTGTCCTTTCTACGTGTACACGGTTTACCAGGGCACGATCCAGTAGACATGTGCTTCATTGATCGATTCCAACTCTCTTTTACTGATTGCGTAATCTTGGTTGGTGTCTAAACGTTCGCAACGAAATTTGACTCTCATTGAACAATCAGACCGACAAGAAGAGATGGAAGTTTGGTGATCTGAGCGATGCGTCACGTTTTGCAAATATAGATCACTCATGAGACCAGCCTAAAGCACATGTTGGTCACTGTTTCGGACATGTACTGCGCTTGTTTCGAATTGTTCACCGCACTTTTCTGCCTTCTCAGATGCGGCCCGATGAACATGGTGGCGAGAAGAAAAAGAAACGACGTTTCAAGATGCCATCATTCTCCCGCAAGTCGAAGCCGAAACCGAAGAAGTGACCGGTCAAATTCAATCCAACGGCTGATTCGATTATTTACTCACTTTTCGCTTGGTGATTTCGTTCTGCTTTTATACCCTCATCCAACCGCGTCAAATAGCACACGGACGCTGGCGAAAGCTTGTCCTCATTCTTTTCGTTGTTAGGATTTTCCATTTTGATTTTCGCGCAGATTGTGGTCTACTGTGGTTTTGGTGTGTGCGTCGGCGCAGCTCGGTATCCAGTTCTCCCTGTGCGGTACATTTTATGTTCATTGGTCTCTGCCTTCCTCTTCGTTATCAACCACTCCTTTGGTTTTGCTTTTAGCTTGTTCTCGTTATTCGTCTTGTTCTGTCGCTAAATTGGCTTACTCCCATCTGCCTGGTCATTCTTTACAAACATGCAACCGGTTAGTAGCATTGTCATTGTTTTATTTCTCGTTTCCATCTACCCTTCTTTCCCCACATTTGCCACAATAAATCATGATTGATCATAAAACCGTCTTCGCACTGTTCATCACGTGTGCCATTGATGAGTGTGAATAGTACGGACTCTGGCCCTGAGCTTGGTTTCATGAATTAGTTTGTGTTCTTCCATGTAATGTGGCCTGAATTTATCGAAGGATTGTTAGCTGTAAACAACAGCCGACATTATCAAACAAGTAACCCGTATAAACATCACAACTTAGCAGAGAAGTAATCCGGTTTTGTTTTGTGGAGGACCCAGTTTGGGACCACTGGATAAAGACTATCGTCTTCACATCAGCTGAAGGCAACTCGCATGCACATTTTTAATGCTTCGCCATGACAGAGAAGCAGCTGGAACCAAAGTACCCTTGATACATGGGTTACAACTGATAAGCTGACCAACTGATCGAGAAACAGTTTTCTTGGTTGCGTTTGAAAATTTTTGACGCACGGTAAGTTTCACCTTATATCCACTTCCAAAACCAAGCAACTCGTTTTTGTCGCTCATGACATTCCGTACGAGGAAGCCCCTGAGATTAGCGCCACTCTGCCGCATCGTGGATGGGTCATTTTAGACGAAATGACTTGATGAGCAGCTCTCGACAGCAGGACGATTGCAATTGGGGGATCCATACATTCTTGTATATCCCATTCGTCGTGTTCGTACTGACGCTACCCCGGGGAGTCGTTTGTCTATCATTGGCCCGGCAGAATTACCAGTTCTGTAAAATCGTTCACCATATGGAGACAAAGACTTACCTGTACTTACTCGATACTCCATGTTGTGTTGGCTTGTTCCTCTAATCGCTGTAGGTAGATACCCATCGGACGCATTGTCTAACTACCTCCTAAATCTTTCGACCAATATGTTGATTAAGCATTCTGTGACGGTAGGAGTTGCCAGTGTCTCCACGATGCTCCCCATGGTTCTTGAAGTCAGGCGATAACCACTATGAAGCAGGTGAAACGATCAGCAAATCCAAACAGTTTATCTTGTCGTGAGTTGGCCCACGTTGGTGTTTTTACTGCTGAAATGACCAGCCACGTTTCGCTCCAAAGGTTTTCTCGTGAAAAATTTCTGTTTCAAAGACTACTTGAATCCACTGCACGCTTACTTATGTCGGCAAACTTAATATTATGGGGTTTTCAGGAATACTTGAGGTACGAGTTCATGACGAAGTTTTCCAGCATTTTAAGACCCGACAAAAATTTCATAGGTTGCGAACAATTGACAGGTTTGCAATCTTTCGGGTTGAACTCCTTGGGAGTCCTTAAATCGACTTCTTGTTGTCTTTGAAGTTCTGTTGAGACACTGAAGAATCCCATCTAGTCATTAGAATTTTATCAGGACATGGTACTCAAACTATCACGATGTTTGAACATGGTGAGTGTACATTTCCTTGAAAGAACACTGCACAAGCAAAATACACTCGTTTGCAAGCAAATTTGGTTTTGCGAGCGACTCACCTGGAACCCAGCGGAATCTCTGGTCTGTGATGTTTGCAGGCATCTGAATGTGCTGCACCAGGCCGCCTCATGTTTCAGTCGCTACGATTTCGAGATGTCGCGATACATGTATATTCGTAATGCACTGCTCATAAGGTTGAAAATTCTTCGGCAGCCCACAACCGGTTTCGCCCTTTTCGGGACTCATCAGGTAGGCGCAGTCCCCGAGTTTCCGTCAACCTTATGTTCTACTTGAAACCACATTGCACGAAAATAGCGAAACACACTGCATAAGGCTAGTGAAAACTTCCCGATGGCCAACTACCGATTCCACCCTTCCTAAGACTCTACAGGTAGGCGTAGTCCCCAAGCTCCCATCCACCTGATGTCTTACTTGAATAGGTAAAGTTATCGCTGTGTTAGTATTGAAAATTGTTGACTCATGCCAAGAGCTGTCTATCGCCTGTCTGCCTGGTGCCGAGACTATTTCAACCCTCTCGTGGCAACGGTTAACTTTCCTGATGTTCAAACGAGCAGCACGGTTCATCGTCGTTCTAGCAATTCTATACTCACATGTAGAGCGGAGAATTCTTTTCCATAGTAAATCCTCACACGAGGAAATGATCGAACATAAGTCAATCTATACAGAAAGTTCTTTACATGTAGGCCTTACCTATGTCGGTCGGTTGTAATCAACTCCGCTGCAAGGAATTTCCGACGTTCTATTTACGTGCTAGTCAGCCGACTTGTCAGGTGAGGGTGTGCTGTTAATGTTTGTTAATCTTTCCTTCGTTCATACATTGATACATGATACCTTCTAACATAACGGATAATATGCCGGTCCACGTACCGAACGTCACCATCATCTTCACGACAATAACGTCAGTATTGACACTGATGCTTCACTACTACAACTACAACCACTAAGTTTATTACCTCACAACTAAAGAAGAAGAGAGAAAAGGATTGGGTGAGGGGTGGACCTGGTGCTATCCTACCGCAAGCATTCTAAGGGGCCTACACTTCCATGCGTCCACGAACGTTACTGATATCGATTGGCCGGCATGCTGGTCCACTCCTCCTATCTACCGTCGGGTATGTTGCGGTGGTACGAATACACCAGGGCGTAGGAGAGTTTTACCCGGACACTTCGAAAACCCTTCATCAGTACAACTACACAACATTCGACTGTGACAATAGAATAGACCCAAGCGGCCAATTTGAAACGTCCTCTAGGACGTCGGTTCGTCTGCTTAAGCTGTCGAGGCTCACATGATTGCAAACACCAAGGCAATCGCGTTAGTGGTCGACTGCAACGTAGATTCTAATTCCTCCCCGCCGATTAACTCCACTCTTAATTTTCCACCAGTTGATCGACCGGGGCGCCGTGTATTCTGACGTCTAGCACTACCGAACAATCATATGTGATCTCTAGTCGTCATCGAATTTTTCATATTATTTTTTTAGCTTTTAGAATCATACTGGTGTCGTATTGGTAGATGAACTACGTTTTTCTAGTTGTTGATTAGGTGGTTATTGATCTGTTCTCCGAGGCTGACAATTAGCATGCCGTTCGGTCGGGTGGGCCGCTCCTCGATGCCTACTGCAATTGTACGTTAAAATAAGCCGCTCATTCGAATCTGTGACGTCTTCCAGTACGCGGCGCATCAGGGCATTAATTCTTCCGTTCGTTTCTTGTAAGTCGTTAGCTTCGTGAGTGATGATAATTCCGTTATGATTTTTCCGGAATTCCACATACCATCGTTCATCTAATTTTGAGTTTCGCCCCGTTCTTCCTGTGGTATTCTCGAACTAGACATCGCCATATTAATATGCGTTGCTAGTTTCCTTATTATCTGAGTTTGACTACTTACCAGTCACTCAGGAAAAAACACCCAGTACTTTCCCGTATAATTATTTTGTAATTAACTTCTCAGACAACAAAATTAGTAAGTTGGAAGGAAGACTGTTAGATTAGAAAGTGGTTGACTATTGCCGGAAGATTCATAAGAGCAGTTCCGGAACGAGAGACTTGGTCCACTATAGAAGGGTTCTTTTAACGGAGGTTCATCGGAGATGCCGGGTGCTGTATATTTGCATGGGACCTTTTATGAATCAAAGAAATGAGGGACTCAACTATGCTTGTTTCGTCCAGAATGCTCCTCATGAACACTGAATACGGTTCAACTTGACCTCACCTTGCGAATTAGGCGAGGATATAGTCTAATACTTCTCGGTGTATTCGACCTCGTAACAAGTTAGTTTAGTCTCTAGATGGCTAGCGTCTTATTTTCCATCCTCTGAATTTACCAGTTACTTTTCGCTACAGTTCTCGAATTACTTTTCAGTTGAAATTCGAAATGTCGGAATTCCCGCTCATTATAACACCAATAAGTCTTCAGGAGTTTTATCTACGGTAAGTGCCATTCTTCTGAGAAAAAATTTTCCCCATCAAGTTTCATGCTACTCAATAAACCATGCATTTTTGGACAGTGGATTACAGAGGGTTGGTTAGCACGGAGACTTTGGTGTAATGCCATCGGCGACATAGATATCGAACGCATATTTCAACCCTTTCCTAGTAAGGTGCCTCGAATTCTCACCTCTTAACTCGCGACTTTTCTCATCTATAAAAGGAGACCGAATTTTATGCGTTGGCGACTGTTCACGCCTGGAATTTGATGCCCATCCGTCAATCGAAATGACCGTCGCTGACTACCTCACCTATTGGCGTGATTTTCATCAGGGCACTGATGATCGCACGTTGTATTTGAAGGACTGGCATTATTTTAAGTAACTTTCTCCTCGTTCATTACTGACACATTTGGACGTAGAGCTACAGATACTGAGTACTACCAAGTCCCAACACTGTTCATGTCCGATTGGATGAATGAATTCTGGCGTATTCGCCCCGATGTGCGAGATGATTTCCGCTTTGTATATCTGGGTACAAAGGGTACTTGGACACCACTGCATGCGGACGTCTATCATTCATACAGCTGGTCTGCAAATATATCTGGCATCAAGCGATGGTGGTTTTTCCCTCCAGGTAGGCAAACTAACGCTTTGTTTTCAGCCTATTGACACATCTCAGAATGTTCTCGACGGTCCCTCCATTCAAGCTTGGTTAACCTGAAACAAAGTAATCCACATCATCCATATTGGGAGTCATCATCAGTGCGCGCAAAAGTTCAGTGCTCTTCGGCCTTCCGGCACAGGTTGACTTCACTTGTAGGACGAAATCCTCATTGAAACTTCCAGTCTCCTCAATATGGCATAAGTAGCTCGGAGGGAGAAATAATTCATGAGTTACATGAACTTTCTTCTTCGCTATGAGAGGTCACCACTCGTTAAAGCACTCAAATTGTGGAGCTATATCTTGTTTGTATCAAACTGCCAATCAGTCGCTCGTGGCCGAACATTTTGGTGTTCAACTGCTAGCCGGGAGGTCACGAGTTGGAAACCACTTGGAGTTTCTCACTGCCGATGATTCCTAGTTAGGATGAAACATCTGTACGGTACCTCTTGGATTGGTAATGTGGTGAAATATTGGTAGCTCGGGTGAGTTTATTGGTTGTTGATCAGATGGCTGTTGATCTGTTCGCCGAGCTTGGCAGTTGGCTTGCAAACGTTTCGTCACCATACGAGGAGGCATCATCAGTGCGCAGTTGGGTGTGCACTGATGATGTCTCCTCGTATGGTGACGAGACGTTTGCAAGCCATATTTCCAAGCCGGCGAACAGATCAACAGCCATTTGATCAACAACCAACCTCTTGGATTTTCGACAGTCAGAAATAGTCCAGTAGGTTCCTTGCACCCATGGCGCTTCGTGAGTGGGAATTCCTAACAAGCGGGTAAGCCGATCGACAAAACGAAGTCACTCGAAGCGCTGAGCGAGCGAATCACATCGCTGAATATGTATCTGTGTTTAGATATGATAATTCAGCCTCATTCAGTGTGCGCCAGTGGAGTAGTTGTAACATCTAAGCTATTCGAGGCTCACTCACGGCTAAGAATATGCATTGCTGATGAGCTATGATAGGGACGAAACTGGAGTCCAGTGCTTCTCCTGTTTGTTACGGACTTACAAGGTTAATCGCAATAGGGAATGAGAAGGATTGTCTTAGTGACCGTTATCTGAATACCAATTCTACGAATCCCGCAACCATTCATAACTACTCAAAAGCAGCGTGTAGCACACCTAACAGTAGAGTACTGACGTACCCACCATCGGCAGGGTGAACTGACCTACTGAGGGAAGATCCTTTTCTGCTTCACAGCAAGCTGAACAAACAATTTTTCAAGCTTCACCTCCAAGCCAGCTTTTGATTGCCGTTTTTTCTGTCCGTTTGATTCTCCCCTCATAATTGATCTCTTTGTCTAAGTATTGACAGGCCTAGTTTGTTTGGTGACCGGATGACGCTTTGACATTTCAATCGATTGTGCTCAAACAGTTCAACCAGGTATTGTGGTTCTCTTTTTTGGCGATAGTTTCACCATGAAGCCCTAAAGAGACTGTAGGCTGTTTCGCAGTACACGCAAACACACGTCCTGACTTCAGCTCTGTCCTTGGTGGGACCGGACGTTTAGGGGATAACATGAAAATAACTTGGTAACAACGACAATCGACGGTCAGTTTCCTTTGTTGGTAGCATGGAATTTTGAAATTTCAGTCGAAATTTCGTTCTGAAAATGAATCTAACTCACGCTGAAAAGTCGAGAAATACTGTGCAACTGACTCATTTTTGTTAGGAATCAGCAACAATGTGGGTCTCACGAATCTTTGGGGAGATTCGAACCCTCGACCTCGATTAGTGACTGGGTCTGTATTGCTTGGTCACGAACAGCGGAACACCAGTGTGATTGGCTCGCATTTAGACAGGACATAATGCCACTCGTTCTCCACTCACGTGATCACAGACTGACTGGCCTCTTAGGTGACGGTTTACCAGACGATTGACCCATGCAACTTGTTAATTCTTCCTTGCTGAGCTATTTGTAGCTTGTTAACAGTACGAAGAAATTTAATTGTTTCATGTAGTTGATATACTTACATCCGGACCTCGGTCCTCTTGAAAGTGTCGCTTTCACCAATTTGAGACACTCATGGCGTCAAATAGGTATATCTCTGAATTTCAAGGGACCTGTGCATCAGGTTACAGTGCGAGCTGTTTGTTGTATGGCTGTTAAACCTGGCGTGTTCGAGCAGCGGACGTCTTCAGGTATTCGACAACCGTTGTCTCAGGAACATAGATCGTGTGGGTTGGTCATGGACACCTCGTAACAAGTCAATTAGGAAACGAGTGTTCGGTTGTGCAACAGGGATTTCCACTGGGGAATGTGTCCAGCACCAGAAGGTGCGTTGGTCAGGCCATGTATTGCGCACCATTGTTTGTCGAAGAGAGTGCTGTTTTCCGTGCTCAATTCAGAGTGGGAAACTCTTGAGCTGGTAGAGGGGTGTGAAAGAGATTAAGAAACGTTTGGATGTTGTCGATACTACTCGCCTTCCAGAATGAGGAGCGCGTTCTCTTCACTGCGCCTGGTTAGAGGCGTTGCAAGATTAGGCTGCTACTCGATGTCGATGGCGTTCATGTTATCAATTTCTATACAGATTGCCTGAATAAGTGTCTGGAGGTGTAGGCATCTCGAAATGATTGTAGTAAACTAGCATCAAGACCCTTCCTTCCGCTCTTTTATCCTTTCTTCACAATAAGACTTTCAAATGAATCATGGTTGTACGGCAGCGAAGCCTCAGTTTTGAACACTGATGTCATGCCATCGATGAGTATGCTGATGAGGGGCGGGATTTCGAACGAATCTAGAACCGCTGTTCTGATCACGTTGGCGACCTCGTGAACTATATTAAGTTCAGACGCAATACACTACCCATAAGGTTGCTGAAAACTCTTCGACAATCTACGGCCGGTTTTACCCTTATTGGGCGCTCATGAAGTAAACGTAGTCATCTGCGATATCTCGAATATCGTACCAACTGAAACAGGAACTGGCCTGGTACAGCATGTTCAATTGAAGGAGGACATCATAAACGAGAGATTCAGCTGTGTTCCGGGTGAGTCTCCCACCAAAACCAAATTGGTTTGCAGACGAGTGTATAAGTTATATGAAGAGTTCACTTCAACTATACACACTGGATACTGGCACCTTTGCGCTAAACTTCGTGCCAAATGCTAAATAACACTCCAGGCAGTAATTTTCACTTAGGATGTTCTCCTGACATGTTCCCGAAGTTGACCTATATATACGCACTGGATACTGGCACGTTTGCGCTAAACTTCGTGCCAAATGCTGAATAACACGCCAGACAGTAATTTTCACTTAGGATGCTCTCCTGACATGTTCCCGAAGTTGACCTATGCCAATGGAATTGAATAAGGAGGGGGTTAGTATGGCCACTTTCCTAGTTTTGAAACCTGATGATTCCATTCGTTTGACATCACACACCATCCATCTCCGCTGGACAAACCAGAATTGAATAAGGAAGGGGTTAGTATGGCCGCTTTCTTGGTTTTGAAACCTGATGATTCTATTCGTTTGACATCACACACACCATCCATCTCCGCTGGACAAACCGTCGGGCATACTCAGTAGTCAGGGTAGCTCGCTCCGGTCGCCCCGTTTGATCCAGCGACAACTATAAGCAGAGGCCTTGGAAACCATCTCGCTGTTTCCGCGTCAGGAAGTTGCATATCGAAAAATGCCATCGAATATTGCATCGATCATGCAACTCAACAGGGTGATATTAGAATACAGTCTGACTGTGTCTTTTTCACTTTGTAACAGGTAATAGCCGTACATACTATTTGTCCAAATTAACTACCTGAATTGGTTGATTACCTCTTTACTCAAAAGCTCTGTTGTGGAATTTATCCACCTTCTCCATATTGCCTCTTACAGGCGAAGAAACGAAGTTGAAGCGTAATGGCCGAGTTCCAAACGACATCCGGAATATACAATTGGATAACGGGGATATAAATTATGTTCAGATTGATCAGCATCCGGGACAAGTTGTATTTGTTCCCTCTGGCTGGTATCACCAAGTGGTAAATCTTGTGAGTACTAAATTATGGTGTTGTTTTATGATTTCTTTCCTTTTTTCTCATGGTTAGAGTTGTACCCAACCCGGCAAGTGCAGTTTCCTGCTACTGGTTACGTCACCATTTCCAGACGTAACACACTACTCTTAAGGTTGCTGAAAACTTTGTGACTGCCCACGTCCGGTTTTGCCCGTCTTGGGGCTCGTCAAGTTGACGCAGTCCTCAGGTTTCCGTCAACCTTACGTTCTACTTGGACCCAGCTTCCACTCCTCACTGATTTATTCCCCCATTTGCCGTTGAACCATACATCTCACCGCACACAGCCACCCACACACACCGCAATGCTATCTGCAGTTTTTGAAACCCAAGTTCGTTCTGCGTGACTTTCTGTCTGTTCCGTTTCGAGGGAAAATTGAGGTTGCGATTCCTTCCCCATAAAAAGCCACCATCCAAGTGTAACTGCGAAAAAGTGCACAGTTTCTGACAATTCGGTTTTATTGCATTGTGAATACAGCATTCCCTCCGTGTAAGCAACCACCTAAGTCGAAACTGCCTGATTCAATTTTCCATTTCCCATGCTGATCCACTGACTAACGAGCAAGAAGAACTGTACGTTCGCATGTAATACTCAAACGTAAATAAAATATCCACCGTTTTTGACCGTTGTCATATATGGCGCCTAGTCTAAAACGAATACTACAGCAACGAATCACTGAGTGTTAACTCAGATGCTCCGAGCAAGATGGCTCACGTAAGGAAATTTCTCTTCCTAGAAGCAGAGGAAAAATTTAACGGTAATTTGTCCAGCCTGAAGAACAAAGTAGGTGATTCTTCAACGTCTTTTTGAATGCTCTACGCTGAAATACTGTCAGGTTGGCCAAGCCTAGACACGAGCTCCTCGCACAATATGCTAGTGTAACGGTGATACTACTGATCGGTAGAATTTCGCGTCGATTGAAAAAGGGAATTCTGTTGCGGAATTCGTGGGGCCACTTTGTAAGATTTGCTTGGATTTGACCGACGAATGAAATGATTCAATGAATCTCCAGGAAGACCCGTTCGGGAGAAGATCTGTGTCCAGTTTTGTAACTAAGATTCAGATTAGAGTTTTGCTTCCTTGTTCAGTGGTCTGTAACCGGTCAGTTGGCATTTCCGAACAAATAACTGCGCAGCGAAGGCCATCTTCCTTTTATTTGGTGCCGTGACCAGGATAAGGATGAAGATCCCGTGGCCGCAACCCTTTGAGGATGGGGATGTTCGAACCTTCCTGGAGGACTTTGAGGAGGTGGCGGAGGCTGCCTGGCTGGAGACCGACCGGGGTAAGTTGGCAGCGCTGAAGACCCTCCTCAAGGACCGGGCGAAGGCAGCCCTGGATGCGGCCAGAAAAGGCCCTCGGAAGATGGACTGGGCCGCCGCGAAGGAAGTCCTTGCAGCGGAGTTGGACACGCCGGTCGACCGCCAGGAGGCTATGAGGCGGTTCAAGACGGCCAGGATGGCACCCGGATCTGACCCGACCGTGTTCTTCGCCGGCTTGCAGCAGTTGTTGGATCGCGCTTTGCCGACGCTGGGCGGAGTGTCGCGACACCAGTTGCTGTCGGATCAGTTCGTCGAAGGTGTGCAGCCCGCGCTTGGTGCCCAGTTGCGGTTGGCACGAGCAACTGGCCAGTTGAGTGTGGAGGAGCTGGTGCGTCTGGCCCGGGAGCTGCCCC